GGGGGCAGTGTGATAACCTTTAATGGAATCACCATGCATATATCCAAGGTGGTCTTGTCTTTCCCTGTCCCATACATTTTGTTAAGGACACACCCAATGGTGAGGAAAACACCAAATTCCTGCCCCATGGAATTTTAGTCACTGAAATATAATGAAGATTGATACCCTGTGGCAATTATAGTTTTGTAACATATCCTGTTTAAAAAGAAGATATTTTGGCCCCAATACAAACTTATAATTAAGAAACTCACCTGAGAGAAAATCCAATAAAAAAGTGATAATAAGTATTGAAGACAGCCACAACTTAGTTCACCAAGGTAAAAATCTTAAGGCCAAACACCTTACATAATTTATCTAGAATTATTCAGAATTCAAGATCTGCACTTTAACCATTATCAGGAAAATTAGAAAAGTGTTAGTACATTCTACCAATCACCTTTGTCTTATGTCTGTAACTTAAAGATATTTTGTATGATTTCAAGGAGTTGAAAAGAGGCTTATCTTCAAGTAAAAGTAACTTACACCAAAGTTAATTTAGTGTTTTATATTTTCTTGAACATTTATTAAGAAACATTTTTATTTTTTGCCAAAAGGATACTGGACAGTAAATCCATGTTTTTTTTTAAACCTGAACACGTATTACTCTGCTCAGTTTTTCATTCCTACATAGACTTATTAAATATAGACTAATTTGGTAGGAACAGGCTTGTAACTTCTACTGTAAATGATATAATTAGCAAAATTATCAATAAATCTTTTGTAAACCTCACACTTACTAATAGCCAAACATCTCTTCTTTTTATTAATTTCCATTGGAACCAGTCTCATTCTAACATAAGTAATATTCATTCATGGATACATAAATTCCATGAAGAAAGCAGTCTCCTCTGAAGAGATGCATTTATATTTAGTAATTGTTTATAATAAAACAAATCAATAATATACTTACGTTGCACTCATAGTAATTATAAGTTAGAAGAAAATGTTTTAACATTTAGACCATTATGGTCACAGTTATTAAACACTTTAAATTTCAATTTATACTCATATTTTTTATGTCCAGAAGCATTTTTTCAAGTGCTGAAAGAAAAGAACTGCCAACCCAGAATCCTATATCTAGACAAAACATCTTTCAGGACAGAAGGAAATTAAAACATTCACAGATGAACTAAAAAACTAAGAACTTGCCGCCAGTAGACCTACCCTCAAAGGATGACTAATGGAAGTTCTTCAAACATAAAGAAAATGATGAAAGAAGGCATACTGGAAATCAGAAGAATGGAAAGAATAAGAACATGGGTAAATACAATATACCTTCCTTCTCTTAAGTCTTTTGTATTACCTTTGATGGTTAAAGGAAAAATTACAACACTATGTGATATGGTTCTCAATGTATATAAAGAAAATATTAAAAAAGCAATTATATTAGAAATGGGAGGGGAGGTAAAGTAGACTTGACCAGTAGACTGTGATAAGTTATGTATACATAATATAATGACTACAGCAAACATAGAACAGCTATTCAAAGAGATAGGAATCAAAACATTACAGATAAATCAAGACAGAATTTTAAAACATGTTCAACTAACCCACAGGCTTCTTTTTCCCTCTCCTCCTACTACTGAAAAAGGAGTTAAAGCACAAGCTACTCTATCTCCAGATAGGACAGGTGGTGTTCAAGTTTGAACACCCTGATGAGTCACATACTCAAAGGGGAGAATTTTCACAGCACTTACAATATCAGCTTTGACATTACTCTCATACACTGCTGATTAGAATAGAAATTAATACAATTATATGAAGAACAATATATCAACATCTTAATAAAATTATAAATGTTCTTATCCTTTGGTCCAGCAATATAGTGAGTTATAACCAACATTCTAAAAATGAAACAGGATAAGAAAGAAACTCAGAGTACAGGACACCTAGTAATGGTAAAGTATTTCCTGAAACTGTTGTTTCAGGTATGTGTTGATGAGTTATGTGTGTGTATATATATGTATTGGGTCACAACATAAAACATATTTTTTACTATAGGTTGTGGTCAATGAAGTTTGGAAGCCACTGCTTCAGCTAAAAAAGAAAACCTGGGACAAAGGGACAGTTGAAACTTTGGGAAGGGAGGTTTCAATTCCAAGATGTGAAGAAGTGAAAGGGAAGTAGGCATATAAAGAGACAAAGCAAATACAAGGTAGTATATTATCAATGTACACACAGCCATGAGAAAACATGGCCTATCTGGGGGTGAAGGCAAGGGAGAAAAAGAGAGAGAGAATTTATCTGAGAGGAGCAAATAAGAGATAGAAAAGATCCAGCAGTTTGTTACACAGGGTATTAATTCCTAAAAAGAGTTCCAAATGTTCTGTTTTCTTTGCTTACTTTTTTAGGGTAAATTTTAAATTGTATTTGTTTATATAATGTTTATATTTGTGGTTCACATATTTCTATTGGACAATGTAATGCTTATCTACTGCCTGGAGTGCTGCTATCATTCTCTTTGCATTCATCTGCTGATCTGTTGAAGAGATGTGAAACATCTTCCGCTGTCATTTTTCTTTTTTCTGCCAGTATGAGCAGAAACAAAAATTTCTGAATTCTCAACTGTGTTCAATGGAAATTAAAAGCAGCCTACAAAGATAGTGTCTTCAGGCTTCTTTTATAACCTCTTGAAAGATGATGCAGTAACTTGGGTAATATAAAAAAAAATTAAAAACTGAATAAATGGCACAACAGTGACATTTTCCCCCATATTCATCACCCTTTTATGTGATCCCATCATTCTTCTATTTTCATATTATTTTTTAGGAGAGATGAAACAATTGATGAGTCATGATGAAATAGCACAATGTTCAAAGGTAAATGAGTATCATAAATGCAAGGTAGAATGAGTTTTATTCAATTTCAAAAAAGTAAATTTTGCCTTTGTTCTTTGGAAGATCTCAAAGAAAGAACAATCACAAAATACTAGTCCTTAAAAATAGTTAGAAATCCTCAAAAAAAATTTTTAAGTCTAAAATAAAATACAATAAATACTGA